AGCCCCAACAAAAACAATATTTCTCCAACTTTTAATAAGAAATACCTTATGGTTTAGCATTGTAGTATTATGAATTTATCCCTTTTGGATCAAATTTCAGCTGGGAAATTGAAGTAAATATTTTTTCTTATCAGAGAAAGAGGAGACCCTCTATGAGAAATTCCAAAATTAATGACTTTCACCAAATTCATTCAAGGTTCTACCCTCTGATTCCCCCATCAACTTCATTTCATGTTTGATTTAATTTTAATTCACCATTTCTTTTCCCATTTTCATCCTAATTATTTAAGACATCTTTTGGGCAGTTTTTCACAATTTATTTTTAATCACCATTTTGCTTCTTCATGCAACTAAATTTTGAACTAGGGCCAGCACCCTGTTACACTTATAATCACCGATACTTACAAACCATTTATTTGAAGTCTCAATTATTTTTTGTCACCTACAGCTGAAAGAAAGTGAAAATGTTATTGAAGAGAAAGAAATAAAAATCCGTGAACTCCAGAACCAAAGCGAAAGCTACCGGGGTACTGAAAACACTTATCTGGCAAACATTCAGTCCCTAAAGCAAACTATCCAGAGTCTGGAAAACAAAACAAATCAGTTTGAATCTGTGGCAGGGAGAGGAGAGATTGCGCTTTCTACATTCCAAAAACAAAATAGAGAACAGCAGCAAAAAATACTCGACCTGGAATCAAGACTCAGGTAAATCAATGAATAATTAGTTATCCAAAATTTTTGAGATGAAGCACTGATAATATTAATTCATTTTTACTTTGATTTTATTTTCTTTTTTCTCTTCTTTTTGTTGTTTTTACTCCTAGTAGTAGTTGTAGACATAATAGTTTTAAGTTGACCTTGTGTCTTACATGAGATATTGTCATGATTATTAATTTTTGCCTAGTTTTTCTTTTATCGTATTTTTGTTTCTTTTTACGCCTTGTAGTAATTTTAAACATAATAGTTTTATGTTGCCCTCATTTTTGAGATGAAGCATTGACATTATTCATTTTTACATTGATTTTCTTTCATCTTAATTTTATTGCCTGTTATTCACATGACCACTAGGATAACGTGGCAGGTGATTTAAAGTGGGGTTCCAACATGTAAATTGAACTAGAGACAAAAATTGCTCAAGCTCCCTCTGTGTTTTACCTTTGGGGACACCTCAGGTACCAAGGATTAATTCTAGCCGTCTCTCAAAGGAAAAATACTGGTTTTCTTTTTCTCTCTCTCACACATACTCACACATACACACATTGTGAGAATGATTAAAAAATTTGTCTCATAGGAAGATTTTTTAATCATTTCAGCCCAAGCAAGGCAATAAAGTCACTGAGATGAAAAAAAATGTGAGAGAATATGAGAAAAAGAAATATTAAGGAAAGAGAACAATAAAAGAACAGGAATTAAAAAGGCAAAAGATAACAATTGATATTGCATTTAAACTTGCTGCCAATCTAGTACTACACTTAAATTCATAAAGTCTAGGTACCAAACTGGAAAAATCATCAGAATAATTACCGTGAAAGTATTTATAGAAAAGTCATAGGGAAGCTATGTTATGGTGGGGGGAAAGTGAGTGAAGCCAAGATGCCAGGTTAGAACCAATAACATTGCAGATTCTTCTTTGGCTTTTACCAAGAATCTCTAAATAAATGGCGGAATCACCAGACCAGATGTGACAGCAGTATTCAATGCTGAGCCAAATGATAGACTTATAAATATATATATGATAGATTCTGGCATGAAAAATTGTCTAGCATGACACAGTGAACCAAAGCAGACCTAAAAATTGATTCAATATAATCTTTCCATTTCATGTCAGTGGAAAACATTAGCCCAAGTAGGCACAATGAGTCATTTTCCCCAAAGGTGTGTGTGTGTGTATGTGTGTGTGTGTGTGGAGAGAGAGAGAGTGAATCAATAATTCTGTAGCTTGGCACATAATTATTAATTGAATCTTGATCTGAAATTTCCTCTGTATAATGTTCAATCAATGTGATTAATATTCAGAAATGACACTGATAGATTATGTTAATGAGCATTTATGATGTAAAATACAACTTTTGGCAAACATGGACCTTTATGTCTGAAAAAAAATGGAGTGTCAAATTTTTCCCATGACCTGCTTTTATTTTAATTACTTTCACTCTTCAACAGTGTTTATTGTCTTAAAAAGTGATGATTAAAATTGTAATAAAACTTATGAAAACATATGATGCTAGTAAATCTATACAATTTTTTGTTATATGTACAAGGCCAGGTCAAGTTACTGGCAGTTGCCTGGGGTACCATCAAGGCCATAGGTGCCATCAAGCCACCATGTCATGTGTTTGGCATCTTCCAAAACTAAAGCTTATAGAAACATACTTGTGGTTGTCTGTGACTCAAAACAGATTAAATTCTTTGGCTATTTTGTCAATAGAAAATGATCTTGTAAAGAAGATAGGTGTAGAAAGTCCAATGAAAAGATGTGCAGATCTAAAGGTGAGAAAAAAATGTTTTAGGGGGGATAATAAATGTTTTAGAGGGGATAATAAATGTTTTAGGGGGGATAATAAATGTTTTCTTTAGTGCATATTAAGTTGTATATTGTAATAAACTCATTATTCTACATTTTCAGTTTTTTCTCCTCGTGAAAATTTTACAAGTTTATACCTTTATGTAATTGGCCTTGATCTGGCATTTCATCTGCAGTCGCTCTCTCACAGACATGTCATCGCCTCTCTCTGTCTTTTTTACAAACACTTTCATGGTAATTGCTCTGATAAGCTGCTTTCACTGGTTCCCAGACTTCATGAATTCAAGCGCCCTACAAGGCTGGCATCCCGCTCTCACCCTTTCACTGTTGAAACTGTTAAATGTAGCCGTCTCTTCTACTCCAACAGATTCGTATCTCGCACCTCTCACTTGTGGAACTCCCTTCCCTGTTCCTGTTTCCCCGATAGCTATAATCTCCAACTATTCAAATGTAATGTCAATCGATATCTCCAGTTGCCTTGATCTATCCACTATCCTTCTCCTCATCCTTTCCTCTATCACTCCTATCTGCTCTCGCTCCAAATCCTCTGTAACCCCTTGCGTGCTAGTGGCTTCCCGCCTTGCTTGAGGTGAAATGCTTATAAAAAAAGAAATTTAAAAAAAAAAAATGTAATGTTGCCAAAGTTCAGCTTTCCCAGGGTTCCAGCAACCCTTGGACCATCACTGTATATATATTTTTTTGTTTCCAGAAAGCAACTGGATGAGAAAGAGCAAGCAGAGAACCAAGCTCACCATTATCAAAAAAAATTCCAAGATTTGGTTACGAAAATTGCCAGCATTCTAAGATGCGAAGAATCCACATATGAAGAAGTCCCTGAAAATTTTGAGAGTCTTTGCACAAAGGTAAACAGGGGAGAAAGCTTAACATTTATCACTCTGCATGTGAATTCATTTGCTGGAGAAAAAAGTTTATCTTGCCACTAAAGGTGACTCTGATCCCTGGACAATAGTGTGTTCGAATTTCATAGTTGTGTTGTCATATCCTGCTATGGCAACAGAAAACAAGTTTGAGTGAAATTAACAATAAAGATACTGCAATTGAGAGGCCTTGAAAAAGAATGCAGTGAAAAGGGAAGTAATATTAATAATGCAGAGTGCTAAAGGCTAACAGGGGGCTAAAATACTTGGATGACAGTTTGACCAAGATGTTTCTTATAATTCACAATGATCTGTGGTTGTGCAAAAATTCACATAAATATTTCACAGCTCAGTCTACATATTTGAATTTTTTGAGATGAAAAATTATTATTATTATTATGATACACTGAATTGCGCAGACTAGTATCATCATCTTTGTTGTTATTATCACAGTATTTCATTTGTTGCACAATCTGGCTTTCAAGTACATGTCAAAATAACAAGAGAGAATTAATGGATACAATTTATTTCCCTTAAGTATAGAAAATAGAATGAGAACAAACTACTTTAGAGTGTTCAGTTCAGTTGGTTACCAACTACAGCACACTGATCTGAAGAAGGCCAATGTGTACAACAGTTGAAACATTGTGATTATAACTGATATGTCCTGGAAAGATCCAAGTAACTAAGCGGTTTTGGCTACTGTAACCAAGTAGTACACGGTAGCAGTAATCAACTGGTACTCATCGTAGTCGCAGGTAATAAGTGTAGACCAATAGGATAGCCAATGGTGTAGTCCAATGGGTGTCATCATAGACTTAAACTCTGTCATACCTACACGTCCTTCTGTATTTATGACGGACACCAGCCAATCATATTCCAGTGAGGGGGAACTCAGGTGTATGGATATTCTATTATATCAATAACTAAGAAGAGGACACTGGTTCTAGCATATCAATCTATAATAGTATTAATTTAACTTTAGGGGAACTTGTTTTACTTAGATGGTCATTGATTTATACTGATTTCACTTGCTAATATTGAGATGGTTCACAATCCACACATGTCATGAATTTTTACACAAACACACATTTAATATGATAGCGTATCTACACCATGAAAAAATGTTAACAGTATTTAAGTCATTTTGCAATCATATTGATCATGTTTTCCACTCAAGCAATTTGGAATTTTATTTTGTCTATACATTTAATTTTGTTGTTAAAATTCTACTTATTAAATCATTAATCTTTGAAAAATATATATTTAAATAAAGTTGAATCTTATTTTAAGTCAACATTCTTTTAAAAAAAAAAAAAGCAATGTCTAACAAACCTCATCTCCTGAGATATTCTTTGGTTAATGGCAACACATGGCATGTTCAGGTGTTGTGACCAATAAATAAGTAATGTCATATTGCATTTATATGTGATAGACTCTATCATCAATTCAATGTATTATGGTTCAATAGTCTTTTCAGTTCATTTTTTTAATTTCATGCCTTAAATGCCACTTCAGTCCTGGTGCTTATTTGCACATTGAGCTGCATTTAGTGCAAATAACAGGATTTTGAGTAGAGCAAGTTAGAATGTTTGATCGAATTTTGATGTTTGATTTTAGATCATGAAAATGGACCAAATTTGTATGTATGTATGTTGGCTACCACCTCATTGTCAAATATAATGAATATGCCTATTGCAAGATATCATGTGCATATATATATATATATATATATATATATATATATATATATATATATATATATATACTTACTGTGGCGGTACCAATATAGTAAAAACCACGGCAACAGAAAGGTTGGTTTTCTAAATATTTTGCCCTCCATTTTCATTTTTGAAAATTGTATTAAGCACTTTCTCACTAATTTAACCATTTTTTGACAAATATTTTTTTGTCAAAAGTTTGATTTTTTTCAATTATATATATATATATATATATTTATATATATGTATATATTTATATATGTATATATTTATATATGTATATATTTATATATATATATATATATATATATATATATATATATATATATATATATATATATATATATATATATATATATATATATATATATATATATATATATATATATATATATATATATATATATATATATATATATATATTTATATATATATATATATATATATTTATATATATATATATATATATTTATATATATATAAATATATATATTTATATATATATATGTATATATATATATATATATATATATATATATATATATATATATATATATATATATATATATATATATATATATATATATTTATATATATATATATATATATATATATATATATATATATATATATATATATATATATATATATATATATATATATATATATATATATATATATATAAAAAAGTTCTTGATCAGACTAAGAAGAAATTTAAATAAAATTTAATCGGCCTAGGAATTTTCACTATTTCCTTGCATATATATATATATATATATATATAGATAGATAGATAGATAGATAATATTAGTGGTTAATATACACATATACATTTATATATCTAAAATATATAAATACATATATATATATATAAAATTTTTCAAAAGGATAGAATCCAGGTAGAACTCAATGTCCAGGACAGAGTAAGAATATAATAAAGACTTAAAAATATAAATTATAACCATGGAATATGAGTGTTTAAGTCTTTATTATATATATATATATATATATATATATATATATATATATATATATATATATATATATATATATGTGAAAAGTATATAAATATAAATAAATATAAGTATGTATAATTATTTATATATTATATCTGTGAGGTACTTATTAGAAAGCGCTCAATGTATGAGTCCCGACGGGCGACCAAGTATGTATATGTGTCTGCATACATCGATGTTTGCGTTAGTACGATGAATGACAAAACGACGAAATTTCCCCCACCACTTCCACAATAACACCAATACACGCAATCTACATAAACCCCAATTTTTTAAAACATTAATCAGTTTGTCTGATGATCGCTAAAGCGTGAAACCCAGGGTCACAAACTCACATCTATCCAACCAAATATATATATATATATATATATATATATAAGAATTAAGATTACTCCATGGTTATGATCATTTCACCCCACAAATTAAGATTAATTTGTAAGGATTTTCAAACCCATCACGTTAATAAGAAAAATAAAATGAATCTGGTTTAAAGCAAATTTTAAAAGCCAGGCAGAAGCATAGAAAAGAAATAAGGAAAGGCCAAGATAGGAACAGTAAGAAATAGAGAAAAAAGAGAGAAGAGGAAGAAATAGAGAAAGAATAAAGTAGAGAGAGGGTAGTCACATCTAGATATGGGAAAGGTATGAGGAGATAAATACATGTAGACTGACCTGATTTATATTGGAATATTCACCTCTGTTTCAATCAGTAAAACAGAAATGGAGAATTAGGGAAAAATATTTTTAATCTTATATTAACAAATTACTATTAATTCAATATGAAGAGATATAGTTATATATTTATATTAATGAGAAAAAATTCCAGAATTATTAATACATTAAAATCTTAAAAAAACATGTAATGATTTAATTATTTTCTTTTTCAGGAAATGTATCATTTAATATTCTTCATTTTAAATTAAAAAGAACAAACAATACTAAACTGTTACCATCTACAAGGAAATAAAAATTCACAGAAGATTTTTTATTTTATATAACAAACCAATAAGAGAGGAAGAGTAAATTCAAAAGAAGAAACAATACTTAAAATTAGAAAAATTATGTGTAAAAAGCAGTGCGTAAAAAATGATTAAGAAAAATATTATAGCTGGGTTAATTATTAAAAGAAATATATAAATTATAATTTAGTAAGTAATAAGTACTAACTGATAATTAAACAAAGGAAGCAATATAAAAAAAAAGAGATATAATAATTAAATATAAATAATAATTATTATTGTATTATTAAATAATATCATTATAATTAAATGTTATTAAATATTATTATATTAAATGATAGTAAATAAAATATTAAAATATATTAAAAATTATTAAATATAATTATATAAAATAATACAACATAAAATATAAATACCTCATTAAATAATATTATTAATATGAATTATTAAATGATACATTGTTACACCAAATAATAGAATATATATCAATATATCATACATATTAATATTATATATTAATATATTAACATCAGTACAGTACATATCATTATATTAAATAATACAATTATATTATTAATTATATCATCACATCATAAATAATACTATTATTTTAATTAAAATTACTATGTTAAATAGTACCTCTATTAAATATTATTATTAAGTATTATTACATAACTACAACTAATTCTATTATAAAATATTAAATACATATTCATTATACTATGCCATTATAAACTATTATTATATATATAGAAACAAATATGAGAGAAATGGATATAATAATTAATTATATATATATATATATATATATATATATATATATATATATATATATATATATATCTTCTTAAAGAATAAATCATTTAAAAGAAAAGTATCAAATGAAAAACTATTTAAAAACCTTTTATAAACAAATAGAAATAAATTAAGAAAATAATTATGATAAAAAACAAAAATATTAACCAAGAAAAGAGAAAAATATCATCACTAATTAAAATATAATATGGAGTAATAATGACAAGTCAACATTTAAATAAAAATAAATCTAAAAACAAATTAAAAAAATTCTTCCTCTATTATTGGTTTGTTTATAAAATAAATAATCTTCTCTGAATTTTAAATTTAAAATGAATATTAGATATTAAACATGTTCTAATGTGTATAATTAGTGTATAATACATATAATAAATAATAGTGTATAATATATATATATATATAGATATATTATATATGTTTAATATATAATAGTGTATAATATATATATATATATATATATATATATATATATATATTTTTATAAAAAAATTATAACATAAGTATGTTATAAAATCACTACAAAATAGCCATTTTGTTTCAACACACTCTGTGTCTTATCAAGTGATGATGTTGAAAAGAAAATAAATGGTTTTTAAAAGTTTCAGATTAATTAACGATCCTACACTGGGGGAAACATTGTTACAAAAGCTAGAATAACCAATCAAAAACGAAGTATAGAAAGATTCAAAAAGCTTGACAACGAAATCCTGCTCTAATAGCTATTCATATCTTTAAATACGTGTAATATTAAAAAAAATAATTTATACTAACTAATAATTATAAATTTACATGGTAAAATTTAATATTAAAATTAAAAACTGGCAATTTTTAAAAACCAAATTTAATCACTATTAAGTTTAAAAACTACAAAATTATTGATAAAAGAAAAATATATATGTGTTTATTCAATTCATTTCTTCATTGAAATTACGTTCGAGAAGACCAGACGCTACAATACATCCAGTCATTTGATAATACATGTATATATATTTTTCTTTTTCCTTCTTTTTCCGTTTTATTTTAAAGTTTGTGAATATGGTCTTAAACTCACGTGTGACACAACAAAAACACAATCAGATTATAAATACATAAGCATCCAGACATAATTAGATACACACACACACACACACACACACACAAACACAAACACAACACAAACAAACAAACACACAAAAAAAAAGGAGAGGTGGGGGAATACATGAACATCTCTACAGCCCTTTATGTATGAGTTTGTTTGTGTATGTGTGGGTATGGAAACTTTATATCATGACAGTTTTTTTTTTTTTTTTTTTCATATATCTAAGTGTGGGTGCATAAAAGTCTATGTGTATATATGTGTGTGTGTAGGTTTATATGTATATGTGCGTGTACATGTGTACTTGTTATCATAGATATGTATATACGTATATGTTTATGTTTATATATTTATTTGTATGTATTTCTGTATGTATATGTATGTATGAGTATATTTTTTATGTGTGTTAATTTGTTTTTGCTGCCGTGTATATATATATATATATATATATATATATATATATATATATATATATATATATATATATATATTTGGATTTCTTTATCCTGTTTTTCTTTTGCCTAATATATAATGAAACTATTATCAACTTATATGATTAATAATATATATTTTTTTATTGATATTTATGGTTTTAGAATTTTCGTTTTAATATTAAATAATATTATTTTAAACATTTTTATCTTTGTATATTTGCTCCCTTAAGTTATAATTCGATAAGTGGTTAGCATTTATTTAAGTCTGAAATATTTACTGGTTGTGATTTCAATGTCTATGCCATTGTCTGTGGATGTATGTATGTGTATATATCGATGTCTATGTGTATGTAGAGTGTATTCACATTTATCTGTGTGTGTATAAGTGTTAGTTTCCACGTCTCCTTTTTTCATAAAGGGCTGTAGAGATGTTCATGTATTCCCCACACCTCTCCTTTTTTTAGTGTGTGTGTATGTTTGTTTGTGTGTGTGTGTGTGTGTGTGTGTGTATCTAATTATGTCTGGATGCTTATGTATTATAATCTGATTGTGTTTTTGTTGTGTCACACGTGAGTTTAAGACCATATTCACAAACTTTAAAATAAAAACGGAAAAGAAGGGAAAAAGAGAAAAAATATATATACATGTATTATCAAATGACCGGATGTATTGTAGCGTCTGGTCTTCTCGAACGTAATTTCAATGAAGAAATGAATTGAATAAACACATATATTTTTTCTTTTATCAATAATTTTGTAGTTTTAAACTTAATAGTGATTAAATTTGGTTTTTAAAATTGCCAGTTTTTTTATTTTAATATTAAATTTTATCATGTAAATTTATAATTATTAGTTAGTATAAATTATTTTTAATATTACACGTATTTAAAGATATGAATAGCTATTAGAGCAGGATTTCGTTGTCAAGCTTTTGAATCTTTCTATACTTCGTTTTTTGATTGGTTATTCTAGCTTTTGTAACAATGTTTCCCCAGTGTAGGATCGTTAATTAATCTGAAACTTTTAAAACCATTTATTTTATTTTCAACATCATCACTTGATAAGACACAGAGTGCATTGAAACAAAATGGCTATTTTTTTGTAGTGATTTTATAACATACTTATGTTATAATTTTTTTTATAAAATAATTATATCTGCTCTACTTTGTATTGAGCACTCTTTTAAGAATAGTAATTGTTGGTTATTGGAATTCATTTCGTGTATACCAATTATATACTTTTGATATATATATATATATATATATATATATATATATATATATATATATATATATATATATATATAAAAGGGTTTCTGTGCACTGTATTTGCATGTGTACATTTTGGTGTGTTAAGTTTTATTTCTACTATTTAACAAAAGCTACTCTTCTAATTCTCTTCTCTTTCAGATTTCAGATATTGTTCATGAAAATGCTATGCTGAAGGGTAAGCTTGTCACTCTGGACGAGATGTTAGCAAACAGCGAGATGGAAAGCAAGGCCAGCCGGGAAACTATCACAAGGCTCGTGTCAGAGATTAGCAGAGAGCAGAAAGTCACTTCACATAGTTCTTTTGAACTGAACAACTTACGAATAGTATGTTCTCTTAACATGTTTTTAATTCACAACAGCACAAGAACAATTTTTTTCTGAGATTTTATTAGAAAAATTTAAAATACTGAGTGGATTCATTGTTTCTCTGATAACATTATTTATCACTCACGAAAGTTGTTGTCACTGTATTTTCAGGGTTTAATTCTGGTAACCCTCACACAGCTGCCAGTGATAAGAAGTGGATAAACTATGCCACTTTTTCATTTCTCAATCCTTGTTTTGAATCTATATGAAATTCTTTTCATTTTGATATAATTTTTTCTTCTTGGTGTGCATATAAACTATGTTTGTATATTTCATAGGCATGGGGCTGAGTGGTTAGAATGTTTACATTCTGACTATGAGAATCTCACCATGGTCAACTTGTCAGGAAGGAGACTTCCTGATATTAACGGACTGGAGAGGTCAATCCCAGCATGTGGCAAATGAAAGCCATACCATAGGTTGACACTAGCCTTGTGAATGAAACTGGATAGATGGAACCCTTGGGGCCCATCAATAGCTGTGCTAGCATGAAGTGACAAGTCATCATGGATGAGGGATTGAGCGTGCTGACCTTGTTCAAATTGTTGATCACACTAGATAAGATGCTCTTTCCCAGAAACTGTAACTACGGTCTGCTCAGCATAGTTGCAGTATAAACTACAGGTGGGCTTTGTGGGTGTTGAATAAATACAAATGGGCTTGAGCAAGCGTCTGTAATAGGGATTGACTAGCGGCCATAGTAGTTAGGTATCTCGAATATGAGTGGCCAGCTATATATATGTTTGTATACATCAGTATTTTTTTTAATACATGCTCCAGAGAATCTTCTAAGATAATCAATGATATATTACACTAAAGGTGTTTGTAGAATTTGAAATTGATACACCTTGTCTCAAAGTCTGAAAAAGTACCAGTAATTGAAGTAAAATTTATTTTTAATCAGTAAATACGATGATATTGAAAGTTTTCAACATGGCATAGGCAAATTTGAGTTTTCATACTCATCTTTTTCTTAATAGATCAATTCATTTACAAGTTGGTATCACAGTGTTTTCAGGGGTTATTTCTGGTAATGCTCACACAGACCTTGTCCTTGATCACCCAACATAAAGTTTATCAAAAAGGGAATGGATAAACAATTATTCCATGTCATTGATTTCTCAATGCTTTTTTTTAAATCTTCCTTTCTTTTTAATATAGCGATCCATTTTCTTTTTCCTCCTACGTCTTTAGGAACGTGATAGTGCAATTGATAAACGAAAAGATCTTGAAAGAGAAATTGAACATTTGAAAGAAAGACTACAGTCGTGTCAGAAAGCATTTGACAGTTCACAGAATGAACTTAAGATGCGGGACTGTCGTCTTTCAGCCATGGACCGAGAAGTGAGGGAGTCAGGACATAATATCAAAACAGCACAGACACAACTTCATCTCTTCCGAGAACAACTGGCATCAATTTTGGGTGATGCTTACCACCTCATTCAAGCTAATGATGAAGATATCAAGGAACGATGCAAGTACCTTGTAACAAAGTACAAAGAACATACCAATGTGAGTTTACAAACATACATCTTGTACTTATACATATTATCATGTGACTTTCTTGCAAAAATACTTAATATTTTGTCTTTTCTTGTTTTCTCTATTCTGATAATTTTCTTTATGTGTTTTTACAAGCACTGTCATTGTTGTTAATATTATCCTCATTTTATTATTGTTTACAAAATTTTTATAACATTTCAGCCAGTTCACTCTCCAGCCTTTTTAACCTTCTAAATTTTTGGTGATTTTAAGTCACAAAAAAAACAATGTAATTAGAAAAATAAAATTATTAAACATGGTTATATATATATATATATATATATATAATTCACAGACAGTATTGTTTCGCTGTATCACAACTCCTCAGTATGAATAGGCATGAAGATTCTATTGGCCAGCGTGAGAGCCAACAGCTGACTGACACGAATGTTAACTAGCATGCTAGTATGCAAAAAAAAAATCGATAGCTGCATTCGTCACAAGTGGGAAAAATTTAAATCTGCATGGCACTTTACTCCAATTGCCTCATTCGCTTGCTTAAACTCAACGTTGATTCTGATTCCGCAGAACTGGGTTGGGTGTGAAAAAATATTTGTTGTTAACATTCTTTTTTCATTCAGTTTTTCCAGTTACAAGTCCTTTTTTAAAGCTGATCATTTTGTGTTCATTTTGTTTAGTTCTTTTTTCGTAACATTTTCTAACTTGGAGCATGTGCATGTAAATTTTGGTGCAAATCTGTCAAAAATTGCGGCTGTGCATTCGTTACACACACACATCCTGCCTTTTATAGATAGAGATATTATTGAGTGTTGTTTTTTTTTGTTGTTTTTATTAATAAGGCTTCCATTATTTTTAGCCTTTTTTTTTTTTGCATGTAGTTGACATTATTATATTTGCATTGCCAAGAAGTATGTTATGAATATTACAAAAAAAAAATGAAAACATTATTAAAATACATGTATATGTATAAAGCTGGGGCTTGATATGCTACATACTGAAACCAAAAATAAGATTCATAGCTTTTTTTTCAATGAATGAGCATCTAGACATGAACATGGTCTGAAAAAAGTACAGAAATACCTAATTTCTGCAAGTTTTTGCTTCCAAACTGACTTCAAAATTTCAAGGATAAATCCAAATAAAGTTGATATCTTTAGTATTAGATACAATGAGCGGAAAATATATTGAAACCAAACTTATAATTATTAATCACCACAAGCAAAATATGCAGTTTTTTATTGTATTTGATAAGTAAAAACTATGTAAAAAAGATTACAAAAATGGCAACTCAATGAGTAAAATTTGTTAGATCCTAATTAATAAAAACAAAAATAGATAAAAGTGTATATAACACCATAATACTGCTGAGCTCAAATTATAAGACAAAATGTTTTAAATTTGAATTGTTTATTGAAAATCGCACTAAAACTACTGCACTGTATAACATATTGCATCATAATATAGGTAAATTGTTTAGTATAATTTCCCTTTGATGGTCCAATGATTTAGTAATAATGTGCTTGTGCTATGCGTCTTGTCCATATACAATTTGTAAAGCTTCAGTAAATTATAAATTTTATAAGGCCGTGCTATAAAGCTTTCACTGATCACTGGAATGAAATTGCAATGCTACAATTTTGAATCTAAACTTAATCGTCAAATGAGTTTCATCAATAAACGGTAATGATTTGGAAAAAATATGTTCTATCATTATTGATCATGTCAAACCCCAACTTTTTAAAACTACGCTTCCAAAATCGACCTGTCCTACTGTACAAAACAACAGTTTGCCACATCTGCAATAGATATTCCAAGTTACTTCCAAGCTTCAAGAGCCATTTTCGTTATCACGAGAACCAAATATATTGATCAAAATTTGACTGCAAAGGTCATACTCATTTAACAAATCAACAGTGATCATATATGTATGCTTGTATGTATGTGCTAAGATCTATTTCATTTGTATCTATCAGTTTATCTCTTTATCTATCTGTTCATATTTGTCTGTATCTATTTTGGCCTTGTTTCTCTCTATATATATATTTGTCTCTCTGTTCTGTGCTGTCTTTCTGTCTCAGCCTGATCTGTCTATCTAATTCTCTGTCTGTCTCTCTAATCATATCTCTGTATTCAAATCTGTCTCAGCTTTGTCGATTGTTCACTTATTAAGTAGAAAAATTACTTAATAGAACGAATAACATTTTTGACCAACCCAATATCTATCTATCTCATACTCTTCATATCTATCTCAGTCTGTTCATATATATGTATCCATCTCATTCTGTTCATATCTATCTCATTCTGTTCATATCTATCTATCTGCTGTTTGACCAGTCAACTGATCAGCTAGCTATGCTTATTGGAATCTATCTATCTATCGTTGTCTTGGCCTCGTCTATATCTATATATGTCTGTCTGTTTAGTGTTGTCTTTCTACCTATCTTGGCCTGGTCTATCTGTCTGTCTGTCTGTCTAATTCTCTGTCTCTTTCTCTATTCATATCTCTGTATTCAAATCTGTCTCTGCTTTATCTATCTATCTCATTCTGTTCATATCTATCTCAGATTAATCTATCTATCTGTCTATTTTACTCAGTTTTATCTATCTATCTATCTATCTATCTATCTATCTATCTATCTATCTATCTATCTATCTATCTATCTATCTGTTTGACTGTCTGCCTGTCTATTCATATCTGTCTATCTCAACCAGTTTTGTCTATCAAAGAATCTCTTTAATTTCCCTCGTTCTTCTCAGCAACTTGAGATCAATGATAAACATATCCGAAACTTCTCGACCAATTGAGAATCAGCATAGTCTTCATCAGGAAGCCTTGGAGAAAGTTAAACTTGCAGACTTGCGATGCATTGACATGGAAGAACGTCTTCGTATCAATGAAGGGGAGCTGGCCACTGGTGACATACTACGCTCTGGCTTTAAGTCCGACAAAGAAAAGGTGAGTGCATTATTAATACTTGTAGAACACAGGTAAATTCCATGGTGATATATTTGTAATTTTGGAATAGAAAACAAATTCAATCATCACGATAAAAAAAATAACATTACAGAATTCTTATAAAGTTAGCAAAAATATTGAAAAAAATTGTAATGAGACAATGATTTCTTAATCGATTTACCAATACATACAAATTTACTTATGTCTGATATGGAATTAATTGATAACAATTGTAACTTTTCCCTCTTTCTCTCTCTCTCTCTCTATATATATATATATATATATATATATATATATATATATATATAATATAATTAATAGAATTAATTAGCAATGTTAATATGATTAATGGCAAAATCACTTCCCTAACAAGTCTTAATGAGGCATTAACTTACTATCAATTCCTTGAATAATAAGATCCTTATATTGGAGTTGTTCTCAGATGTAATTGACGGGCTAAGTACTTTTGACAATTTCAAATTGTCATCTTCGGGGCGCAATTTTCCCATACACAGTCAAACACTAAGACGAAATATGTGTAGTGTAGACCGAAAGATGTTTTTTTTAATTATGTTATTATATGTATTATAGAGAGAGAGAGAGAGAAAATTTTTAGGGCATGTAATGAGGAAAAAAGGCTTGGCGAATTTAATATACTGAAGGTAAGAGAAACAGATGTAAGCGGGAGGTAACCTACTTGAGAAGTCAATGAATTGTCATAAAGGAATAAGTTTTTTCTGAAAACAACAAATGACAGGAAGTGGTGGAGAGCTATGATCACCCATGTGCTGAAGGGACATGGCATAGAGAATGATAGAAAGATCTGTATCACTAATTGAGGTTACATTGTCTTCCAGCTGAAGAACTCTTGTTGTTTTCAAAATTTCTTCTATGTAGCGTGTACCTTTCGGATGTGAGCAATCATGGCTCTCTACAACTTCCTGTCCTTTATAGCCCTTAGAAATGTTTGTCTTTTTACTATCTCTCCTAATCCTTGTCCTGCCAAACATCTATAAAAGTTTGTTAAGTAGGCTATTCTCTACTTTTCTCTGTCATTCTCTTGAGTGTTAAATTTTCTAAGCCTTCTTTCCTCATTATATGCCCAGGAAATTTCCATTGTCACTTTATGATTCTAAGTATAAGTGGCCTTTTTGTTTCCATTTTCTCTAAAACTTAATCGTTGCTCGCAAGTTGGATCTATGGTATGCTCATCATGCTTCTGTAGAACCACATAGCTGCTGCTTCAAGTCTTTTCTCTATCTGTGAGGAGATTGTCCAAACTTCACTGATATATTGAAGAATCGATATGGCATAACAGTTCGGTACTCATTTCTTTGTTTCTAATCAGTGCGATGACATGATCGCTGTATTGTTTTTTGAAGGTTGTAGTCCTGTCCTTATAGCTATTCAATAAGTTTAATTTATTTATTGTGTAATGAAGAAGTTAAATTATTTCGCACTTTCTATTCCAATAGTACATGCGTTGTTTGGAAAATCTGGCCAGCATAATGAAAATGGAAAATATCTCTGAAGACGTTGGCCTTGATTCAACTATCGACGCCCTGACTGCCCGAGCCGAACAACTTGTCAAACTCGAGGCGAACACGCTTGTTGAACGAAGCACCCAGATTTATGGACAACAGAGAAAACTGAAGGGGCTTCGGGAACAGCTCCAAAGTAAAGATCTACACTTGGATCTTCTGCGAAAGAAGATTACTAGTCTTGAAGAAAGGATCCACGGGAGGACGGAGTTAGAAAAAGAAAGAGATTCCGAGTCGATGAAGGTTCGTAAGATGGAAAAAGTATCCGAGAAATATAAGATGCAACTGAGAGAAGCAAAAGCCGAGATTACGGGACTTAAAGCCCGTCTCCTTGAATCCAGTGACCTTAAGGTGAGATATAATTTTTAACACGGGTAAATGGTAAACGCTGCCTTTCACACTCAGCTTGACCTACATTTTACAGAGCCACAAAATTTCAACTATTCACTAACGTAATGAAGTTGGTCACTATGATGTACTCTGTTATTTGGAAACATGTGCAGAGTGTGTAGCGGTTAGCGAATCTGAAAGAATAATCGGTGTAATGAGTTCACTTTGAAAAAAAACTTTATGAAAGTTATGAATCATTGGAATTTAAAAAGTGCTGGGTTTGTTTTTGTATTTTATCTGGGGTGCGTGTTAATATGTAAACAAGTGAATAAACAGGCAAAAACTTTATTTATATATATATATATACTGTAGTGAAACAAAGTTATTACTGTCTCTTGGGTATGTCCGTTTTCTTTTTGGTCCAGTTAGGCTAAGTATAAGCATCGTATTAATGGTCGAGCTCAAATCAGACTTGCGCAGAGTTGGAACAACCAAAGGAAATTTTGTACTTACTTCATAGTTGGAAGGTTTAAACATGGTTATGATATGACCGTTTTCTTTTTCTTGGTCCAGAAGTTAGGGTAAGCAATTGTAATAATGGTCGAGATCAAGTCAGCCTTGTGCTGATTTAGAACAACCACTGAGAATGCTTGACTTACTTCATATGTGGGGGTCTGGGAAAACATATGCGAACATCATGCTTTGGAAAGTGGGAAGGAAGTTCTGTTGTCAGTGAACCGGGGAAACTAACTTTCCTCAGCGTCAATGTAATTACCACGTGGCGCTACATCTTGGAGAAAGAGGGAATAAAGAGACTGAAATAAGAAAATATTAAATAACACGACTGACTGGAATTTCTTGCCATGTGGTGTCAACCAGTCTAGGAAAAAAAAATTCTGAATTCAAAACTAGCATGAAGAGGGGTGGGGCCTTGACAAGCCACTGATGCAATGACTGCACTACAGTGCGCCTACAACCATCGAATTATTAAAAATATGAAAGTGTATCAAAGATATTTCCAAAATTCATTTAATAAACTTTACGGTATTTTTTCCTGGATACAAGCTTTTGGGAATGTTATCCAGTGCTGGTGGTTTGATTTTAATCGACTTTGTGTTTCAAAGTATCATTAAAAAAATAAACTCATAGTCATCCAAATTTGGGGTTTCTTTCAAGTCGCCACATTTAAAAAGCTTAAAACAATTTTTTGCAGTATATATATATATATATATATATATATATATATATATATATATAATACTAAAACTCTAATTTGGTATGTATGTGTGTTCCCAAGATGCAGCTCAATATAATTCTCCAAACAATTTAGAAGCATATTATGCCTTGAATTCTTGCCAAGTGCAGTGCTGTCATTCAAATTAGACAAGGGCTTCTTTAGCTAGGGTTGTTGTTGTTTTGTTTTTTGGGTTGTTTTTTGGTTTGTTTTTTGGTTTTTACAGTATTTTTAATAGGAAAATCAGTATTTTTAGAATCACATTCTTATATCAAACCACGTATATAAACAAGCTCTTGCAAATTATAAATTCAACTATCATGTGTGTGAAAAATAATAAACATTCATAATACATTATAACAACATTATTAAATAAATTTAAACATGCAAAACACAGCATATGTTTATACAATCCACTATACTACATTACAACTTTTTTTTTATAAACCACTACCTGAAAGGCGAAAAGGCTATATGTATCACATGCAGGCTGATTTGCTGCCGTTACGTATTTTGAAATAAATGCTAGGAAGAAGCAAGTATATTTAATAAAAAATAGATTTATTATTTTGAGAAAAAAAAAAACTACACCTGTTTTAAGCTGGGATCAAACACGGATCAAATATGGATCGATCTCCGATAGATTGATAAAATAAACAAGAAATGGGAAATGGCTGTTCAAATGCACGTGAAACCTGATTAACCAATGAAAATCCAACAACACAAAAGTAAAAATACCAGAATTTCTTTCTTCTTTTTCTTCATATCTCATTCTCTGATGAAGCTTTAATAAAAGTGAAACATGTTATATTGATAAACGTTTCCTATTTGTTCTCTATTTTATGATATATATGAGAGAGAGGAGACAGTTGAACAGCATTGAAAATGTGAATAATAATAATAATAATATTAATAGTACCAACAACAGAGTGAAGTCATAATCTTTAGAGTAAAAATATGTAAAAAAATGAAAATACTTTTGATACACCTTAATATAATATTAATAAAAGAGAGGAATCCTAGATAGACTTTAGATATGTACATGAAATAATCTTTAGAGTAAAGGTATGCCAAAAAATGAAAATACTTTTGATACACCCTAATATTAATATTAATGACATAGTGGTGTCCTAGATCGTCTTTAGATGTGTACATGAAATAAGCTTTAGAGTAAAGGTCTGTAAAAAGTGAAAATTCTTTTGATGTATGCTAATATATAATATTTATTTTTTATTTTGACTGAGTCACCACTAGCTACATCTCAGGACATTGTCTCCAATTCTCCCAATCCATCATCGCTGTTTTGAGTTCTTTCAGATTTTCAATGTTAGTATTCTTCCGCCATAATATCTGAAAATAAATGTACAGTTTAATCGTATTGGTAATGATAATGCCCTGATGCTCTACCAGGAATGGCTCTCATGGCTTCCAATTTTAATTGATTGGAGAGGTTAACATGTGCATGTATTTGCTTGGTGAATTAAGGATGGACTATAGTAAATATCCTGTTCAGGACCAGAGATTTCCATTTCAGTTGCCTTAGGGGCTGACGGACTGTGCATCACAGTTCATGAGCTTTTATCAAAACATGTCAGCGGCTCAGGATGAGAAATCGGAGAGCCGCGTTCAAATTCCAATCGGGTACATTATATTCACTTACGTACAAATACCCTTGGAAAAAGGAAGAATTCATTTGGAATTGTACCTGGAAAAATAATTGTTGTTCCAAAAAAGAATTGTTAAAGCAATATTCAATCACAAAAAAATTATTCTTATAATCCACAATATTTTTATTTGTTTTGCCTTTCTTTCTCTCTCTTTCCTGGATAAAGGTGTGCTCTTTGGAACAGAAAAAAAACATTGGCGATCTTGCAAAGAAAATAGAAGAACTGGAAACGATTCGCCTGCGACAAGCTCACAAGATTTCCGAACTGGAAGACAAATGCAAGCTCCAAGAACTGGAAAGGAAAGAGAAGAATTCGGCCTCACACAATGCTGTTCAGTCCTTGTCAAGTGAGCTAAAGACAACGAAATTAGCTTTGTCTGCAATTGCAGATAGAGAGAAGCAGGTAAGCTTGGGGGTCGGATTGTAGGTAACTAAACTGCATGTGTTTGTTATGAGACAACAAACTTGTATAAAGTCTTTTCTTACTTAACGACTTTCCATTTTTAACGACTCCCGGACATATGAACAACTATTAAAAAAAAAATCTTATACAAATAAAAAATAAAATATAAAAATCCAAACAGTACATTGTGCGAAAATTTTGATCAGGGAAATTTTCTTTTAATCACGATAAATAAAATGACTAAATGAACTGAATAATAAATAATAAATTTACTTGTACCAAATTTCCGGCATGCAATCCAAAGTAATGTACAAAATATAGAGGAGATTTTGGCATTTGTTTATTTCTATTATTTACACGATTTAAATTCAAACTATTACCCTCATCCTTATTGCTATTTTCACAACGTTTCGAGCGTTGTACCGTTCGGTCATCATCATCAGGTGTTTATCGATCCAGGTAACCTAGAGGAAATTCCAGACTGAACCCTTTATTTAATCAACGGGAGTAGACTGTTCTCGTTCCACTGCCTATATCTAGGGATATCTCGTCTAGTTCTTATTTTTCCACTGAGTCTAAATACACACTGCCCGGCCCAGGGATTGAACCCACAATTACTATGTCACCAAATTCAGAAACCAATGCTTTAATCCCCTAGGTTAAAGGAGAAAATTGTTTATTTCTACCTTTTAGTCCCAGTGGTGGGGCGGAGGGGATGGTCTGCTCCAGGCGACACTTTTGGTTCGGGGTAATTTTTCAGAAAAGAAAAAAACAACAGCATAATTTCAATAATTTTTGCACAAACAGCAGCGATAAAGAAGAAGATAGGCGTTCAAATGAGGCAATTTGTCTTTAGCTGGCTGAAAGCCAGCCAGCCAGAAATAAAAAAAAAAAAATTGTCTCCAAAAGGCACTGTCAGCTGGTGGGGATAAACTGCACTTAGAAGACATGGGCAAAAGGTGTAAAAAAAAATTTGAACATTTTTAAAGGGCTTTATGTGGGGTTGGATTAAGTGAATTTAGTGTTTTTTTTTTCTTTTTCTTTTAAAATGAAACAGAGGGTATATAAACAAAAACAATTTATCTTTCGTAAAAGCTTTTGAAAGTTTTCACGATTTAGAAAAAAAGAAGTAAAACATCTTCGTTTTTTTTTTTTTTTTCATATCCCCAGTTTTATTTTTTAAAAATAAATAAACACAATTGTACTTTTATTTCATAATTTAATAGTGAGGAGTTATAAATACTACGTTAACAGAAACACGAAAAAAATCTGACATCATACGGGCATTAGATTCTGAGAAATAGATGAAAATATTAAAATTGATGAGTGTACGAATAATTTTGTCGTTAACTACATATATATATATATATATATATATATATATATATATATATATAGTGTAACCCGGATATATGAGAGTTGTCGGGACCGGAGAAGGAGTCTCTTATATCCGGGTTTCTCTTATATCCGGGTTTGGTCTATTTTATATACATTAACACAGGCTCTAATTTGGGGACCAGAGAAAATCTCTCTTATATCCGAGTTACACTGTATATATATATATATATATATATATATATATATATGAAGAAAAAATTTTTTATCCATTTACATTTGCTTACATATATATATATATATATATATATATATATATATATATATATAAACTTTAAGGGGTTAATGTGCATTGTGATATTGTATTCCTTTTGGAGAGGGTCTAAAAAACAATAGCTACGCCACCGTTTAGTACAGTACTATACTTTATAAACATTTAGGAATAAATTAGAAATGTTATGAAACAGTGCAAATGTGATATTAGAGCGATCTGAAGCTGGTTGACACAACCCTATTACAGGCATATATGCCTGAAATAGCGGCCAAGTATAAAGTCTCACTTAATGATGAGGTCATTGGAAGGGAATCTGGTTGTTAAATATGGAATGGCTGTATTATATATTGATAGGGAGAGGTTAATTTTTGCTTATCTGTCTATATCTCTGAGATGAGGTATTATGATTACTTGCATTATTCACATTACTTGGACTGTCATCCTCATCTTCATTGCTATATTCACAACGTTTCGTCCGTTGTACGCCCCGGTCTTCTTCAGATGATTGGAATTTCGAACCGAACCCTTTATTTTGTCCAGCGGGGAAGATAGTCCTCAAGGACACATGGCCCATTGGATAAAGACGTTAGTTAGATCCAGTACTAGGCCCAAAGACTTGTGATTTCAATACCAGGCCACAGCAGTGGTGAACCAAAAAAACTTGGAGAGCTGAGTTAAAGGGAAATAACTGAGGCATCTAGAAGAAGCATGGCACGTGGAACTAGAACAATCTACCCTGGTGGACCAAATAAAGGTTTCGGTTCGAAATTCCAATCGCCTGAAGAAGGTCAGAAACGTCGTGAATATGGTAATGAAGATGAGAATAACAGTCCGAGTAATGTAAATAATGCAAGTAATTTTTGCTTGTAGTAGATTTTTTAAGAGATTCAAGCATTTCATAACAGGTACATTAGTATATGGTGTTTTGACATCTAAACTAGCCATGTTTTCTGTTTTTCGACCCGGTCACCGGAATTTTTATATGTGAAGGGATAATTGTCCCAAGAAGTGGTGTTAAAATTTTTGTTATGATTTTTGCTAGACTATGGGAGGCAGTATCAATTCCTGGCATGATGGGTCGCATTGGAATGCCTGTTTTGTGGATCTTGGATAGACCATAAAATGATCGATATGGAATGTAGGAAAATCTATGCCAGAGATAATTTATGAAAACTTGTTGAATGTTTATTTTTATTTTTTTATTTTGTTGTCAACGTTTCGCTCTGTATGAGCATTATCAAACTAACTGAAAAGAATCTGTGGAAGAAATTGTTATCAAGACAAACATGCTACTTATAAATGCTGTGGCTAATTTAGCAGTTATCCGTGAACAAAACAATGTGATTCGCATATAGGAAATATGTTAAAATAACACGCAAATATGAAGATTTGATTGCGAAAAAATAAAATGAAAGTTATATTGTCAAAAATAAAGCGCGTATATCCAAAGTTTAATTAAAAACGACTGACAAGGAACTGCGATTACTTTCCTTGTTGACTGCCGGGTTATGTAATTTAATAACTGTGTATTTGGATAGCAATCCTTCTTTTATATAAGTTTCGTTAAAAACGACTAACAAGGGACTGTGGTTACTTTGCTTGATGACTTCTGGGTCATAGCTTTTTATATTATATATATATATATATATATATATATATATATAGAGAGAGAGAGAGAGAGAGAGAGAGATATACTGCGTATATTTTGGTAGCATGTTTTCATTAAGACATGTCTCATTGAATAATTTAGACAAGTTTTGTTTACTTATTTTCAGTAAGATCCTCTCATATTCACGAACAAGCTTCTTAGTATCCTTATTAAAGGAAGAGGGGTCTCTTCCTTTAATAAGGATACTTGTCCATGAATATGAGAGGATCTTACTGAAAATAAGTAAACAAAACAAAATTATTCAATGAGACATGTTTATATATATATATATAAGCAAGTGTAAATGGATATAAATCCGACAGAATGAAGAAATTTTGAAAAACAAACAAAAATCCTTAAATGTAGTTAAATGAAAAAATTTCGACGTCTGACGTTTCCGGTTTATTAAACCTTTTCAAAATTCATCAAAATTATGATTCAGTTCAGTTGTGTGTAATACATGGAATAAAACAAGATATTATTCAGAACAGATAAATGCTTTAGTTTTAAAATGATCAAAAGCAGATCATAACATGGATTTCGATTCCGTCAAAGTATTAAAATATTTTCATAATAAAAATCTCAAAAGGATTTGTGATTAGGTATAAATCCAAAAACGCAAAAGAAAACTAGACCTGGTTTCTTTTAATTCTAAAATTCTTTTTTAGCGAGATTGATGAAACATCAATCTACACATAAGAATTTTAAAGAACCCAATAGAATTCTTTTCATTTTTTTTTTTTTTTATACATTTCAAAAATAATCACAAACTTTTAGGAATACTTTCACGTTAAATGAAAGCGTCGCCTATGTGACGACAGCGTGACCATGTTAGACGGAAGGCTGATCATTTTAAAAATTTTCAGTTATCTGTTCTGAATAAGACTTGTGTTTTTATGTCCATCGTATTTGTCATATTGAACTGAATTGTATTTTGATGAATATTGTCTTGAAAAAGGTTTAATAAACCGAAACGTCAGACGTCGACATTTCTTTCATTTAACTACATTTAAGGATTTTTGTTTGTTTTTTCAAAATTTCTTCATATATATATATATATATATATATATAAAATCATGTCTCATTATTATGTATCATATTTTCTTCATTTTCTTTTGTTCATTCATTCATCTATTTCTCTTTCTTCATCAGCTGATTGACTTCCGCAATGTGATTTCCCGAATGTTGGGCTTAGATATCAACACGCTGGCTATTCCGGATTACGAAATAATATCTCGGTTGGAGAAACTAATTCAAGCTCACCATGTAACATCGATGTCTACGTTGGGCCTAGAAGAAGCCATGGCCGGAATGGAAGATGGTTTTGTCAATGGCTATCAGGAGGCTCAAGAAGTCCAGAGGTCCCGAGTAAAGAAGTCTGTTCCTGCGCATGTCCGCAAAACACAAAATTACACAGGGAGACGTTACAGAGCACGATCAGTGTCTCCAGTTCAAACCCGGGTTGATCCTAGATCTTATTAATGTTGATCAAGGAAAATATTATATTTGGTTAAAAAAATTCCCTGGGATTTTTATTCTAAAAAATTATTATTTTATTATTTACTATTATTGCTTATTATTTTACTTTTTTTATAACTTCATTTTTACAAAAACTTTTCTTCTTTTTATCTTCTAGTCTCGTTTTTCTGCTTATTTCTCTAACGTTTTTTCTTTCACTTGTTTCCGTTCTTGTTCCTTTGTCTTTTGATCAACTCCATCGACTTTTTTTCATGGTGATTATTTTTTCTTCTTTTCCTTCTTTTCTTTCTCTTACTATTCTCTTCTTAACTTTTCTCTTCTTCTTCTTCTTCATTTTCATTCTCTTCTACTTTTCCTTCTTTATTCTTACATCTCCTTTAACTTTCCTCTGTTTTTCTTCTTCCCCCTCTTCTTCTTTTCCATCTCTTTTTATCTGATTTCTTTCCTCCCTTCTTCTTGTAGATCTTATTTCATTCTTTTTTTTATTCTTTCCTTCTCTTTTTCCCCAATTCTTTCAAATCTTCTTTCTTTTTATTCTTTTTTCATCTCTTTTTCTTACGTCTTTCTTCATTTATTCTTGTATACCTTCTTTCCTTTCCTTCTTTTTATTTTTTCTTTCATATCATTTTATCTTTCTTTCCTTGCTTCTTCTTCATACTTTTTTCCATAATCTTTCTTTTTCTTGGTCTCATTCATTTGCTATGATTTTTTTCCTTCTATCTTTTTTTTGTTTCTCTCCCTTCCTCCTTTCTCCTCCATTGTAAATAAAATAACTACCACATGTTAAACCCAAAATACAAAACAAAAAATGAAGCTCCTTGATGAAATTCAAAGAATAATCTGCAATATTATTGGTCCTGATCTGGCTACTCGCCTTCAGTTATTTTCCCATCGCCGTGATGTTGCTTATCTGTGCCTTTTCTATAAATACTTTCATGGTAATTGTACAGATGAGCTCTTCATCATGGTATTTGACTGGCATCGAGTTCTCATCAATTTACAGTTGAGCTGGCTAGATGTAGCCGTAAGTTCTATGCTAACAGTTTCTTTCCTCGCACTTCTCGCTTGTGGAACTCCCTTTCAGCTCCATGCTTTCCGGGCAACTTTAATCTGCAAATATTTAAATGCAATTTCAATCGCTATCTACCATCCTCCTGATTACTCTTTTCTCTCCCTAAGCATTAGTAATGTTTCTGTTTTTAATTCTTTCACACTCAGTAACCCCTTGTGTCTTAGTGGCTTTATTACTTTCCTTGGGGTAAAACCGATTTTAAAAAAAGAAAGAATCAGACAATAAATTCAATTAATATTCATCGACAGACAAACCACCAATGTCAATACAAGCTAGTATTCCTTCATCAAAATTTCAATTAGCATTTATCGACACTGCTTCTTCTTCTTCGATTAAATTCTTTAAATCCTGGAGTGTTTCCGGGTTTTCTGTTGGAAACAGAATTTTTAATATGACCTTAAACAAAAAGAAATCTTGAGGTACGAAATTTGACCTTCATGCTCAAATCAGTGTTTCCGCTCTTCGAAGTCATCGACTTTGGCTATTTCATTTGTAGTATACAACATTTTGAATTTTCTATAATACTCAAACCTGTCTTCATGAGATGGACTTGTAACAGTTATTTTAAAATCATTTCACTCTAAGCAAGGCAATAAAGTCACTAAGATACAAGGGTTTAATGAGTATGAAAGATTATGAGAAAAAGAAAACATTATTAAGGAGAGAGAACAATAAAAGAACAGTAATTGAGAAGACAAAAGATAACGATAGACATTGGATGTACATTTTTGAAGATCAAAATTGACTGGGAAGCAAGAAACTCAAAGAGAGTTCCACAAGTAAAAAATGCTAGAGAAGAAACTGTTAGCATAGAACTTGCAGTTATATCTAGCCATTTCAACTGTAAAATGATGAGACCTAGCTGCCAATCCAGCACTGCGTTTAAATTTGTAAAGTCAAAGTACCAAAGAGGAAAGCTCATCAGAATAATTACCTTGAAAATATTTATAGAAAAGTCACAGTTAAGTTATATTATAATGATGTGAAAGTGACTGAAGTCAAGATGCCAGCTTAAGAGTAATAACATTGCAGATTCTTCTTTGAATCTAATCAAGAATCTCTAAATATATAACAGAAGCACAAGACCAGATGTGACAGCAATATTCAAAGCATGGATGAATTGTTCCTTTCATTTATGACGTTTTCCAATCTGGGAACCAGCCACTGTTTACCCCAACCTGTGGGCTAGAATTCGCATAAATGTATGGGCAAAAAACACTTTTACTCGTGACCCTTCTGACTTAAATGTCAGCCCCATACTAACTCAAAGCACTCTGGTGACTTAGTAAAAACAAAATATTGAAAAACATTTTTCTTTGGTTTGTAAATTTAAAAGATTTTTTTATGTAATTTTGCTTTTCGTCTATTTTCGTTTTTCAAATGTGGTAGTTACTTCATTAACCCTCCTCTCTCTCTCTCTTTCTTTCTCTGTCTCTCTGTCTCTGTCTCTGTCTCTCTCTCTCTCTCTCTCTCTCTCTCTCTGTGTGTGTGTGTGTGTGTGTGTGTGTGTGTGTGTGTGTGTGTGTGTGTGTGTGTGTGTGTGTGTGTGAATTGCTACCCAAAAGTTTAGGGAACTTAAGACATAAAATAGCTTACTCAAAGAAAAAGAAATGAGAAAAAATAATTCTTTATTTTCTAGTGAGGCAATTTCTAGATGCCTGTGAAATTCCCTGAATTTCTGGACAGCACTTCAAAAAACACAAATACAAATACTTATATATGGAAAGATATGATATACAAATATATGTATCAAACCAACAGTAAGTAATCGAATGACAAAATGAGAAAAACTCCTGAGTAACGCGTTTATTCAGACTAATAATGGTTTTATCGAATGGATCCAGTTTCATATATATATATATATATATATATATATATATATATATATATATATGTGTGTGTGTGTGTGTAAGAATTACAACAAACCTCAATTACAATTTTACATCGAAAAAGACACCTAGCTTTAAATTTGTTTATTTTTTTAAAGCCAAGCCAACCTCATTCAGCTGACGATTTTATTTTCAATTTTATTTTTTATCAGTATTGTTTTTAAATATCCCATATTGTACCAACATTAGTTTTGACAGGAAAGAAGATATGTCGTTTGATATTGGACATAAATTTACTGTAGATGATTCAGAAATTAGTACACATATATTTTCACCTTAATAAATTACTTTCTCTTTAAATTAAAACTGTAACGTTTAAGTCGATTTTTTCCATTTTATCTTTTGATTACATACTACTAGTCTTATATATAGACTTATATAGCATATCATATCACATGATTTATTTATTGCAGTCTCTTTATATACAGTATAACAGGTTTATTCTCCAATTTTCATTTCCCCTATTATTGGCATTATTATAGCTGTAATATGATATCACCGTATTTACGGACGGAACAGGATGGCTGAAAGGAAAAGGAATGACAAACATGCTTTGTTTTCGAAGAGGCTTTTATACCACTAAGGCATACACAAAACATATAACATGGAGTAATGGATAGCGGTTTGGATTGAGGAATCGGAGAGCCGAGTTCGAATTCCAGTCGAATCCATTACATTCACTTACGTGCTAATACGCTTGGGATATGTATGAATCCTCTTTTTCTCCCTCCAACTATGAGTAAATAGCAGGACAGACTGGGTTCTATAGCCTTGGATGGCAACTGGTCTAGGAGAAGGACAACTCTGAATTCAAAACCTGAGGAGCGTCGTTTGGGGACCTTGTGGCACGTATTCGGCCTTTCAAAAAGTGTGGATGGTCCTGCACGAAACCTTCACCACTATAATCAAATCTCATGTGCTGGTGTCGGAACTGATCTGCTTGACCCTCATACGTCGAATTTCAACGGGAGACTCGAGTATAGTGTGTGTGTATATATATATATATATATATATATATTCATTCCCAAAAGGAAACGGCACCATGGAAGCCAGAGCTGGACGAACAAACACATGTGGCTTGACACCAATAAGCTTGTCTTTTCTTACCCAGAAATTCATACCCAGATGTCCTCAAGGACACATGGCACAGTGGATAAAGGCGTTGTTTAGATCCAGTGACAGAACCCAAAGAGTGTGAGTTCAATACCCGGTTAAGGCAGTGGAGAACTTTCAGAGGGAAATTAACAGGAGATAACTGATAATTGACATCCATCAAACATGGCACGTGGAACTAGAACAGTCTACCTCAGTGAGCGAAATAAAAGGTTCAGTTCGACATTCCAACCACCTGAAGAAGGCCGGAGCATACAACGGCCGAAACGCTGTAATAAATATGATGACAAAGATGAGGACAATAGTCCGAATGATGTAAATAATGTACATAATACCTCATCTCAGAAATATAGACAGACCCACTCATGAGGTATTGTAGATTGTGGTAGTTAATTGATAGTATCTCCCCGCCATTTTTTCATTAGAATTTCAGTGAAAAGAAAGTATATTCTTACTGAATTTATAAGTAGGCATATATTTTAAAATACGATTTAGTGGTGGTCATCTTGTACTGCGAATACAGCCCGAAACCTATATTTTAAATTAGAGGTCGTCTTGTCCACCCAGTCGCAAACATATATGGTACTTTCAATGCATTTTAATGTTCTTAAGTTTGGTAATGTTCCAACAAGATTTTTCTGGTGCCATTGACTGAAAAAATAAGGATTATGCACTTCAAGAGTTTTGAGAATATATGGAACAATTACAATAAATGTCGGTTACGATTTTACATCGAAAACTCCAAAGATACAAATATGCTTAGCTTTAAATTTTAATTTTTTTACGTCCAGTGGATCTCGATGCTGAGGAGGCAGAGTAATGGATAACGGGTCGGATGGAGGAATCGGAGAGCCGACTTTAAATCCCAGTTGAATCCATTACATTCACTTACGTGCTAATACCCTTGGGAAAGGTATGAATCATCTTCTTCTCCACCCCCTTCTAAATAGCAGGACAGATCGGGTTCAGCCTTGGATGGCAACTGGTCTACCGCAGAAAGGAATTCCAACCTATTGCGGGAAAAAATCTACCTTGTCAGTCATGTATCGAAAGATACATGATTGCCTAAGCGTGTATTACGCATGGTACATAACTGACTGTTTCTCGATGCACAACCAAAAACCTTTATTCAGCTTTCTGATGATTTTGCTTTTGTTTTTTTTTTGTTGTTGTTGTTTATTGGGGGGGTGCGGGGGGGATATCGATATTGTTTTGGAATAACCCACATTCTATCAGCCTTAGTTTTGTGAGGAAATGAGATGTCATTTGATCCGGCACATAAATTTACCGGAGATAAGTCAGAAATTAGTGCACTTTAAATACATTTTCACCTTAATAAATTTAGGCCTATTACAATGGATGACTAATGCATTGAGCCTGTTGTCTTATAGAAGATCCCTTTTGGGTTCGTATAATCTTTTATTTTATAAGAATAGATTGCAGCTCGGAATGAAAAATCTGAGAGCCGAGTTCGAATTCCAGCCGAATTTATTACATTCACTTAAATGCAAATACACTTGAAAAAGGTATGAATCAATCTCTTCTCCCCATCCATGGGTTAAACAGCAGGACAGGCTGAGTTTTATAGCCTTGGTTGGCAATAATTCTAGAGATAGTGATTCGATAAAATTGCCCATCTCCCAGCAGTCCTGTGTCACCCGTGGGAATGCATTGGCCTAATGAAAAATGCACAGCGACTGAAATTCAGTTGTGTGAGTTGCACATTCTAATGCACAGGTGGAGAAAATGTTTAAATATTTTTAAAAGTTTGTTTAAGGTGTTCTATTTATATATTTTGGGGACATTTTTTTCAGTTTATTTTGCAACATTCTACTTCAAGTTTCATGTTCTCATTATTTGTGTTTATGTTAATTAAATCTTATTGTTTGTAAAGGAATAGTAAGAAATTTTACATTAAGTTTCTTTTTTTTTCAGTTAAAGTCCTTATAGACTTGCTAGGTAATATTATGTGTCTATTTTTATTAAGTCTATTTGTCTTTTTTTATTTTTTTGTGGCTTTTGTAAGGTTTCTTTGCGTTATATATATAGAATAATTAGGGGATTGGAGAAATTTAAAATATTTTTTTTCATCGTGTAAATACCGAGGAATATAAGTTCTAAGTGCTTTCAAACAAAAAACAATTATTATTCTGGATTTTATTCTGTTGCTGTAGTGAGAATAAAAGTTTATGAGATCATTTTTGTTGGTTAATTTTCGATAGAACTATAGTCTTACATTTTTCTCATTACAGTTTAACATTATATAGAGTTTATTTCCATTTTGTCATTCAATTACACACACACACACACACACATATGATAAAAATATAGTGTCCATAAGTCTCTTTACAATTTAAAAATTTATTACAAAAGCAAATAAACAGACAAATATGTGGAAATTCTTACAAAATGAGGAGTAGATATGGAAGTTTTTTCTAATTTAATATACCTCTATATGGATACTATTAGTTGCATGAAGCACCTCAAGATAGTGCTCTACTCCTTCATTCTATTCTTTCTCTTCTTCCATATCTTTTAATATATTTTCCTTCCTTTTTCTCTTCCCTTTCATTTTCTCCTCTTTAAAAGCAAAAACAAATTCTTCTTTTTTCCATTTGCCTTCATTTTCTTCTCTCTCCCATTCCTTCATTTTTTTCTCGTCTCCTTCAGTTTTTTCTCCCTCTCTTTCCTTCAGTTTTTCTTCTCTCAGGCTTTCTTTCATTTTTCTTTCTGATCTCCTTCAATTTTTCTTCTCTCTCCTTTTCCTTCATTTTTCTTTCTCTTCTCTTTCAGTTTTTTCTCACTCCCTTTACTTCATTTTTCTTTCTCGTCATCAGTTTTCCTTCTCTCAGCCTTGTCCTTCATTTTTCTTCCTCTTCTCTTTCAGTTTTTCTTCTCCCTCCCTTTCCTTCATTTTTCTTTCTCATCTCCTTCATTTTCTTCTTCTCTTTTCTTATCGTTTTCTCTCATTTTCTTCTTCCTCTTTCTTATACCTGTGATAACCTATGGATCTACTTTATATATACTAAAATATATTATTTTTGTACTGCAAACAGTTGTTGGATTTCTATTATTATTATTATTAATAACACAACATGGAACCAGATGTCTCATATAACCTACAAAATATGCGGTCTCTAACATAAAATTTGAAATCAATATAATATAATGTTTGATGCCAGCTTTTGATCTTTGATTCTTATGGCCAATGATCTTCTAGTCTAGTTGTAACCTGTAAAAAAATACAAATCAATTCAATTTGTTATAGATTCAGAGATCTCGATTTATTCCGACCCATAAAGGAGAAAGATTAAATAGGTGAAATCAATCTGACGATGAAGTTGATTCTTCTATTAAATCAAAGAACAAGTCTCCTTTATTTCATTTCGTCTGACCACCTCCAGCAGTTTAGTTGTAGCATCTCTCCCCACCCCCCTATACCCCTTAAAGTACAAAAGGCTCAAAGTCAATTTTTTTTAGTCAATTCACTCCAAGCAAGGCAATAATGTCACTAAGGTCCAAGGGGAAATTGAGAGTAAAAGAGAACGAAAAAAAAAAAACTTCAGAAGGAACCAGAAGGAACTGGAAAGCCAATCCTAAACATGAAACAAATGATAAACCTCCTGCTCAAAAGACTAGGGATGAATCTAAACCAGACAACAGGCCATGAGAATGTTGCCTAGTGCAACTACCAGTATTTATACTTTAAGAATCAGTTCATGTAGGGGCCCCATGTTCAAAATTACATAATAATGACAGGCACTTAAGACACATGACTTGTTTACATTGTACGACCTTCATTCAGTTACGTGTCTTACTGAAAACATAATTAAAATCAAGCAAGAAATAAATCTTCTTTACTCATCTCATCTAACCACTTCTGATTGCATTGAGTGGTAAGAGAGAAGAGCCTGTACAGAAATATTACTCTCAGGATGCTTATTGGTTGCTTTATATATATATATATATATATATATATATATATATATATATATATATATGATCAAAACATCATGACATGTACTTAAGCCACATGACTAGTTTATATGCATTGTCTTTGTTTCATCTGATGTGCCATTGATATATCTTTTCAACTCACTATCTTATATATATAAATGTAAATGTATGTATATATGCATGTATAGTAATAGTGGTATTAGTTGTTTCAAGTGACTGAACAGTTAGCGGCGATATTGTCGGTTGAAATTTATAAAATTTTTCTCTTAAAACAATTTTTCAGGAAAATAGCCTTCTCAAGCCCAGTAGCAGTTATTGCCCTTTACAATACTGATAGCAGTTTCTTTCCCAACCTTTTGTTTCAGGTAGTATGAAAAGTCAACATCTTGATTATATATATATGTGTGTGTGTGTTCGTATGTGCATGTGTGCACATGTGTAGATATGTATATATTTGTATATATATATATATATATATATATATATATATATATATATATATATATATATATATATATATAATAATAGAATAAGAAACAAATAGAAACATTTATAAATTTAATATGTTTCACTTTTATTTAAGCTTCATCAGAAAATGAAAAATTTTGTTTATAAAGGGTGGGGGCTGATTTACCCTGACGGCAACTATTTCGGAGAATCATTTAGGCAAATTAGTTGTGCCATTTTAAATGAGTGGTAAATTCTCTGACTGTCCTGGCTGCCACAAACACTACATATGCCACTGGCTCAACGTGGTTTTCAAAAATGAGGAAGATATGATTGATATGTAGTTCTACAGAAGAATGCTGAGGATACCATGGATTGAACATGTGAGCAACAACAAAATTTTAGAGAAGATGGAAGCAAAAAGGATACTTATACTTAGCATCAGAAATAGACAGTTGAAATGTCTAAGGCACTTACTGAGGAAAGTGGGCTTGGAAAAGTTGGCACTCATATGACATATTGAAGGCAGGAGGAACAGAGGCAAAAAGTGCATAACCCTACCTAACGAGCTTGTGTAAATGAATGGCAGAACAGGGTTTAGGAGAGATAGCAAAAAAAACGAAATTTATTAAGAGCTTCAAAGGACAAAAAAATGGTCAAGGCGTTGGCAATCTTGACTCTCCACAGACATAGAAAAAGACCAAATGACCAAATATGGGTATTGTTCACCTCCCTCATTCAACCCCCACCCATTCTCCAATTCTTGATCTTTTCACTAATTTCCTTTTATTAGGAAAGATTTGGAAAGGAAATTGATAGTTATACCTACAGTATTGTGTAAGATGTTTCCTTCAAAGACTATATGCTGTCGAGTTTTTACAATTATGTTGTAATCACGTAAGCATTGGTTTCCATTGTTCTGAGGTTTTTTTTGGGGGGGGGTACTATGAGAAATTCAGATGTAATTCTTTATTTTTAAGTTGGAAATTGTCAAATTCATTTGCATTAATTGTGTAAAATTCTCCCGGGATGCTCTCAAACCTGGATGTTTGCCAAAGTTTGGTTCCGTAAATAAAAATAACTTAGATAAAAACAACAATCAGAAAAAGCATGGGATTCAAAAGCAGAATAGCCACAGAATTAAATAAAACAATGACTGAATCAGAATCTGTCTATATTTCTGAGATGAGCCATTATGTACACTATTTTTACATTATTCGGACTATTGTCCTCATCTTTGTCACCATTGTACGCTCCGGCCTTCTTCAGGTGGTTGGAATGTCGAACTGAACCGTTTATGTCGTTCTAGTCGTTCTAGTTTCACGTGCCATGTCTAATGGATGTCAGTTATCAGTTATCTCCTGTTAATTCCCCTCTCCAAGTCCACCACTGCCTTAACCGGGTATTGAACTCTTTGGGTCCTGTCACTCGGATCTAACCAACACCTTTATCCACTGTGCCATGTGACCTTAAGGACATCTGTGTATGAATTTCTAGCTATTATAAACCTACTGTCTCAGCAACCTTTTTTACCAGTGCTCATATTGCAATTTTTTGCTGTTATCACTCGCGTTTTTACCAGAGCTCATATTGCAATTTTTTGTTGTTATTATCGCTTTTCTCTGGCACTCCTTATTACTAGTTCCCATATTGTATTCATTTCTATGCGCCCGAAACGTTGTAATAAATATGGCTACAAAGATGAGGACAATAGTCCGAATAATGTAAATAATGACTGAATCAATTGAGAGACTCTCATATGTCATATCAATAGTCATATCAATAGTCATATCAATAGTCATATCATCAGGGCCAGCCCTATGGTTGTTGGCACCCTGGGCAAGCTAAGCATTGCTGCCCTTACAAGTATAATTTTTGAAAAATTTCACAGGGAGAAAAACTGAAAAACTGAAAATGTAGCAGAACACCTATTGAGTCATTTTTCTGTTATGGTATTTGATCTTGTTTTTTATGTGCCGTCTCCCTTCAGGGCATAGGCGATCATGGCTCTCCATTTCCTCCTGTCCTTTGTAAATCTCAATAAGCTTTGACTTTTTGTTATTTTTCCCAGGCCCAGTTCTGCCATCCACTTGCTTAAGTATGTTATGTGTTCCTTTCTCATGTCCCTCTTTTCCTCTGTCCACCCTGTGAGTGTCAGATTTTCCAAGCCCTCCTTTCTTATAACGTGCCTCTTCCTGATGTTAAGTATGAGTTCCCTTTTTGTTTGCATCCTCCCCAGCACAACAAAGTAATGGAAATAATTAATGATCAATTTTTCCAAAAATTTTACTCTGCTCAAGAAATTTAATATTTTGGTATTTTATTTGATTTTTCACATTTTTTGTTTAGAAAATTCCAAACACATGACATGGCAGCATGATGGTGCCCCGGGTGAATGTCTGAGTTGCCAGTACTTTAAGCCTGCCCTGCATATCACAGTATATAATAAAACAATATTGTGAAAATGTAAAAGATAAAAATGAATAAGTGCATTCCAGAATAAGTCCATGTTGTTGATTACTCTGGTTATAGTCAGCCAAATGAGTTGCTATCCATTTACCACTATTTGTAATGATGCACCTTTGACTGGCACCTGGTTAGGTTTTAGATGCAGCTTCTTCAGATGATGCTATGTGTTGACTGAGAAAAAAAATGTTGAAGGAATCATTTTGGATATTTGTGTGCTTCAACAATAACAAGAAATGGGGAAAGCAAAAACTGTTAAATAGGCTTCCACCTTGTAGCACTCACCTGGGAAGGCTTGCTGGCAAAAACGATTACTCTTTTATGGAGCTTGAACTCTTTCCTCTTTCTAGCTTGATTCCAAAAGATCATTAATTACAGCTCCCAGCCCACACTCATCCCAGACCGCAAATATTTCAGTCAAGACTGCTTGGAGATAGAAGAGTGTCACCATCAAATGCTTTGAACTGTCATGCCTAATTAAAGGTCATTCTTCCACCCCCTGCTTGTTTAATGAGCATCATCATATATCACTACACATTATCCTATTCAAAACAATTTAGAATCATTGTGAACATTTTTTTACTGAATCTTAAATTCTATTAATCACATGTTTGTTCAATCAAAGTACATTTCATGGTCAGAATATAAAATAGACATGTTGTTAACGAGAATTAAAGTAAAAAGGTATCATATGATTTCAACATGTTTATCATAATCAGATAAGTCATGAGAATTAAAACAAAACAATAAAACATCTATCCTCTTCAAATTATTAGACAGGCTTGACACCCTCCCAAATTTATTCATGGTTAACAAGATCAAAAGAGAACTGCATAAGTAACATACTGAACAACAAAAAAATATTTTATTAACAATTATTAATTTTTATCTAGTATCTCTTTTATCTTAATTTCAGTTGCTTTTTTATTGCAACTACTCATACCTTAATTCTACATAGAGTAGTAAACAATATGGATTAAAAATTAAGAACACGCTCATAAACTCCTGCTGATATTCAAACTCGCAACCCTTTAGAGTCTGTCTATATTTCTGAGATGATGTATTATGTACATTATTTACATTATTTGGACTATTGTCCTCATTTTTGTCGCCATATTTATCACAAAAG